AGCAGCCCCAACCCGCAACCAATTGATCCTGGATCATTGCTTCTTCCTTGCCTTGTCAATGGCCGCTAAGCCCAGAAGGCGGAGCTTTAGTTTTTTCCTAAGCTCTAACTCAGCAGGCGTGAGGAGGCGCTTTTCCTCAGCAATGTCGAGTCGCGGAACAAGTTCCTGGGCCATGTGGAATTGAATTTTGGCGTTGGAGAATAGGCCCCTACTCCAGATCTTCAGTGCCTTTGCGGTGCATTGCAACTTTGTGTGTAGGGTCCGGATGGCACATCTAGAGCTAACCGGTTTAGACCATGCTGATAGAACAGTTTCTTGGAAGCCAGGGAACTTCGGCCAAAAAGCTTCGAATCTAAATCTAGGCCTGCAATTTGGTGGTTTAGCACTGGAAAGGACTAGGGGGCTGTGATCCGACACAGACGTGGAAGCTGCATGCAGCAGTATTGAGGGGAACAGCACGTCCCAGGCCGGGTTGCAGAAGACACTGTCCAGGGCAACAAGGGTGGGGGGCTGTTGCTCGTTGCTCCGGGTGAATTTTCTGTTTTTGCATCTAATCTCAAAAAGCTCAGCATAGTTGATGGCATTGCGGAATTTTTCCCATGAGTCTGCGATTGAGATTGAGGTTATTTTTGTCCCTGGCTTCATAGGTTTGGTTAAAATCTCCGAGCACGGTCCATGGGTGGCCTAGTGGTGGTGCAGAGCTGCACATCTCAGCCAAGAAACTTTCCTTGAGGCTATCATCTACTTCCATAGACACTGGTCAAGCAGAAATGCGAGTGGGAGGTCAACAGCCTGATGCTTGCAGTAAGGTTGAACTGCATGGTCGTCAGGTCAGATGCTTGCACAAGGGCGTTGTTCCAGAAAAGGCTAATCCCTCTCCTGGTGCCAGACGCAGGTAAGTGAAAGGCCTGATCTAGCAAGGATCCACCTATCTCTCTGGCCAAGGCATGATCCCAGGCGCTGATCTTGGTCTCCTGCAAGAAAATTATTGCAGGTTTCCAGACAGCGGTTGCTTCTTGAACGGTTAGGCGTTTGGCCGGCATGTTGAGGCCTCTAACGTCCCATGACACAATTGAGCAGAGGTTTTCACACATGGTAAACAAGATTGACCAGTAGAGGGATAACATTCCTCGGGAGTACACGATCCTGACTAGCAAGCCACACTACTGACAACCACCACCAATAGAACTCTACAATGGTCGGCAGACTACAACTCCTACCCCTCACCATGGAGAACACGACAATGGACACCATCCTTACTAGCAAGTAGTCGCGGCGAGGGGCACCACCAGTAGCACCGAACCCCTAGCGCCGGCCGACTGCACCCGCCAAACCTACACTAAGCAAAAAAGCCCTAAAACCGGCCGGCGACAGGCCGCCGACCTCTGCTGGAAACTACGTTGGTGTACTAACATGATCAGACTAGTCGGCGCCAATGGCCGAGCTGCTTGGGCCCTCGAGCCCCGCCGCGACACGGAGTGTCACGCCGTCCAGGCTGGTGAGGGCCGCGAATGCCTCAATCTCCTTGTGGCTGATTGGCTCGTCAAAGCGCTTGATGAATTTCTGAGCGGCCTCCTTGGTCATCGCCTCCTCCGGGCCTAGGGCACCCAAAGCCTGAACTAGGCGCATAGTCGCACGGTTGGCCACTGGGACATCGCTTTTTTCTTCTGACTAGCGTGCGCTTCTCCTGGAAGGGGCAGTTGCCGGCTTCACCTGCTTCTGAGGTGCAGGCTTCGGGGTGCTGGAGACCAGCGGCTGTGGAACGGCGGAGAAGAGTGTGCGTGCCATCGGCGGCTTGCTCTGGCTCAGTTCCAGCCCCCCCCCCCCCACCATGGAGGCAAGGTCTTCAGCAGCAGCAATTGGCAGAGCTGCCGTCTTGGGGATAGAGGCGGGTCGCGCCCTGAGAGGAGTGCGACTGCCATTGCATGCCGGGGTGCGAGCCTTCCTCTGTTCCGTGCTGGCGGCAGGGGAGAAAGACAGGGGCTTGGCGAGCGCGGCTTCAGCAGCTGCGTTGATCTCGAAAAGCATGTTGTCCGTCCAACGGGGGGGTGAGGGCTGTGTTGCGGTTTGCAAAAAATTCTGCCACTGGATCTTCTTGACTAGCCATGCGCTGCTCATCCCCCTGCTCGTCAACTTGTGGCGGCGCTTGCTACAGCATCTCCAAGTCAGCGGCAGGTTGGGGCAGTTGGAGCACGTCCGCAGGAGGCAGATGCTAGGGAAGCAGAGGCCTTGCAGTGCAAGCAGCCTCACCAGGCCCGTCTCTGGCCTCGGAGTGGCAGCAGGGAATGGCGCAACATCAACCTTTGCCTGGGGTGGCTGCCGCGGGAGCTGGCGATGGCGGTGGCGCGGACCAGGGGTCCTACTGCGATGACGCTCTGTTCTTGAGGATCGCGGCAGCGATGAGGCCCTGCTCTACGCCCAATGCCGAGCAGGGTATATTTCCAAGAGCGGCGGCTTGGGCCACTCCCATCGTCCTGGTCGCCGCGTCGGGACAGGGCTGGCATGCCCCGACAGCCCGTGGAGGCGACACGCGGGGCCTGCCTGCGCCTAGCTATGGCTGGCGGTGGTGGTGGCGGGGCTTGCAGCAGGGGAGGGGCCGGGGGGGCAGGGTAGCAGGATGGAGCAGCAGGTGGGCTGGTGCAGCTGCAGGGTAGAACGGTCAGCGACCTTCTACGTTGAAAGTCCAATCGAGCAAGTTGACCTCCGGGAGTGGCCGGCGCTCCTCATCGTCCGAGCTAGAGGACGGCAACCCACTGACAGCAGAAGTAGGGGAGCGCTGCTCGCGTGGGGTCCAGTCCTCCATGCAGTCGAGGTGGAAGAGCAGGGAGCTCCTCTCCCCTTCCGGCGGCTCGGGCACCATGCGACTGGCCTGCAGCGGCGGCGAGAAGCCCTGCATCTCCACCACACGGCCAGCGCCGTCTTCAAAGCACGAGAGGCAGTGCCGGGTGGGGATGTCGGTGAGGCTCCACACCCACGCCCAGCAAGCGAAGGTGCGCGTGTCTCGGTGCTCGGTGGTGTGGCTGTCAAGCATGTCGATGATGCAGAAACGACCAAGCACCTCCTCCGTGCCTCCAACGTCCACATGTCCAGGGGCAGCCGCTCGATGACGATGCGGACATGCAGCAGCCATTTCTGGCGAACAGCATGGTCGTCCGACCTCCATGGCTTGGTCCGGAAGGGCACCCCGTCGATGTTGATGGTGTTGTGGCGCAGGAGAGCGTCGCGGTTGGCGGGAACGCCGAAATGGACAAGGAAGTCTTCAGGGTGGTGATGAGTGACACGCAGCAGGTGCGGGCTGATGCGCAGCAGAGCCTCGATGGTGCGGCCCACCAGCATCGGGTTGGCAGCGTTGAAGCTGTCGGTGGCCGTCAGGAGCACGACATGGTGCTTGAGGACGAAGCGAGCGTGCTCCATCGCTCGGGAGCGAATGACCACCCCGTGGCTTTGACGCTGGCGGTGGGGCAGGGATGCAGGGATGAAGGAGGCCTCCATCGGCGCCTCCGTGGGCGGCGGCGGGGGCGGTGGGGGTTGCAGACGGATCGGAGGCGACGGCAGGGGAGGTGCCACAGGGGAGGGGAAGCGCAGCCAATAGCAAGAAACTCAAGTGTCATCTGTGTTTTTCTCGGAGTGAATTACAAAAAACCCACCACATTTCTTGGGAGCCCCAAAAATCTACGGTTTTCATTACTAAAATTCTCAATAAACACTGATGATCGGTTTGAAGTGATTAATCTAATTTTTGACAGCCCGCGCCGCTGTAAACGTTGACATGGCACAAAATTGTCAACATCGTTTGTAAGGGGGAGTCTAGGGATCTAGGGGTGGTTTCCCAACATATGCATTTTGATTACGTGCATGGGTAGTTTTCCTTCAACTATGTCAGGTGATAGCCATATTGTCCGATTGGCAATTTTGCCATGGTGGCAGCCATGCCTTGTCGGTTATTTCTTATTGTTTCGTGAATTCATACATGAAAGTGTAACAAACATTAGTGGTTGCCGATGTCAAACTTATTTCTTATCCCTATGATATGCTCATTGAAATGACTGTAATATCGTGGGAGCAGGCAAGAAATTTAAAAGGAGAAAGCACAAGAATATTAGGGTGGATAATGCGAGTACCTCTAATGAGCTTTGGGAAGAAAATCAGCTCCATGATCATGAATTCCCGTTTGTAAGATTTGAAGAAGTTCCCTAGCAACTCGCAATTTCTCTGAAACATGCATGATTGGACGGGGAGGTTTCGGCAAAGTTTTCAAGGTAACTCATACAATATAAAGTTTTTGGGTACTCATTTTAATTAGGAGGGTAAATTTGTTCATACTTCAAACTCAAATATAATGTTTGAATTATATTTATCTAGGGAATGTTAGGTGGTCAAGAAGTTGCGGTCAAGAGGCTAAGCAAAGATTCTGAAAAAGGGACAAAGGAATTCAGGAAGAAGTAATTCTAATTGCCAAATTGCAACACAGAAACTTGGTTCGACTTTTGGGATGTTGTGATGAGGGAGATGAAAAACTCCTGATATATGAATATCTACCTAATAAGAGCTTAGATGCCACCCTTTTTGGTAAATATCCAAATATACTCATTATGGTTTCTGAACACAACTCAAAAACATTTGATCTAACATTTGTTCTATCTATAGATGACTCGAGAAAATTGTTCTTGGATTGGGGAACACGGTTTAGCATAATCAAAGGGGTCGCAAGGGGACTTCTTTATCTTCATGAAGGCTCAAGGTTGACCATAATTCACAGGGATCTTAAAGCTGCAAATGTTTTGCTAGATGCAGATATGAAACCCAAGATAGCTGATTTTGTTATGGCAAGTATCTTTGGTGATAAGCAACAAAATGCAAATACCCAACGCGTTGTCGGAACATAGTGAGTAGCCTTGTAAACCAACAACTCATACTGACTTGTGAACAATTCAACTCCTGTTTGCTAACTCTTCCGAGTGAAATGCTCAAGCAGTGGCTACATGGCCCCTTAGTATGCAATGGAGGGCATCTTCTCTACCAAGTCCGACGTCTACAGCTTCGGCGTGTTACTACTAGAGGTCGTCACTGGTATTAGGAGAAACTCTAACAGTCAGACATCAAGCTTTCCTAGCCTTGCAGTTTATGTGAGTACACACAAGATTTCTCACAGCTTTCAAATTCATAAGTATATCAAGATTTTGTTTTTTGAAACTGATTCCCTTGAACAACCTCACAAAAGACATGTGACCGTTTTTATTGTTGCAGTCATGGAATATGTGGAAGGAAGGGAAGATACAAGAATTGGCAGACTCATCTCTCATGGACACATATTCACCAGACGAAGTTTTGCTCTGCATCCATGTGGGACTCCTGTGTGTGCAAGAAAATCCAGATGATAGGCCCCTGATGTCAACTATTGTGTTTGTCTTGGAGAATGGAAGCACCACACTTCTAGCCCCCAACTGCCCCACCTACTTTGCCCGACGAAGAATAGAAATGAAGCAAATTATGGTTGACATTCAGAGCTCTGTGAATGATTGTACTCTTTCGGAGATATAAGGGAGGTGAAAGATTCTGATTTAGTAGCCCGGCCGGGCTCTCCGTCGCTCTCTGGCATTGAAGATCTTCCTGCATCCCCGGGCCGCGTTGCGATGGGCTCCCTCTCCAAGCGCAAGTCCTCTGTTCGCAAGTTCTCTGCTCGCAATCGGGCTTCCTTTGGGACCAAGCTGTCTGCGGTGGGCCTGTGTCGCCGTCTCGATGGTGATATGGGCGACGTGGCGGGCCATGCTTCTCCGGTGGCGGTTCGGTCTTCTCCGATCCGTTCCCCCTCCTCCACGGCGCGCAAAAGTGGTCGGATCCGCGACAGTGGTTTGCGGGTGGTTGACAAGGCGGCTAGGCGTGCTGCGGCTCGTGATCTCCCTGCTTCAGGTATTCCTCCTGCCCCTTCTCCGTTGGTTCATAATACCTCTTCACCCACTAGGCTTATTTTGCCTTCTTACTTGTATGAGCACTTGACTAAGGTTCTCGCGGATTCTGGAATCTCTCTTGATCATAATTTTGGATCTCCCTCTTCTCTAATTGCTCTTATTAGGGACAATGAGGTGGCCCAGGAGGCTTTGGCCAAGGCTAAAGAGGCCGCTGCGGCTCCTCCTGCCCCCTCAGTTGTGGCTGCTGGGGTAACGGAGGAGGGGGGCTCTGCTAGCAGTGTTGTCCCTCAGATTTCTGTGAAGAAGGGTGTTTCTAAACGTGCTAAAACCTGCTTGGCACCCTGCAGGTCGAGTCTGCGCATTAAAAATCTTTCCTACAAATGAGAGCTCTTTTCTGGAATATCAAAGGTTTCGGCGCATGGGGGCGCCGGGACCAAATTAAAGATATTGCCAGGGGTGATAATATAGACTTGATTGGCTTAGTTGAAACTTTCAAACCCTCCTTCTCTCCCCCATGATCTTTCTTTGATTGCGGGGGCTGATTGCTTTGATTGGAATTTCCTTCCCTCTTCTGGCCACTCGGGTGGCATTCTGTTAGGGTCGAAACGCGATGTTTTTGATTTTGTCACCTTTGATCATGGTATCTTCTGGGCCAGCTCCGTGCTTTTTCATCGTCAGCTCAATTCGCTTTGGGAATTTATGGTTGTCTATGGCCCGGCGGATCACTTCCTCTCCCCCATCTTCCTGGACGAAATCTCGAACAAAGTCGAAGCTTGCACCCTCCCACTGGTGATCGGAGGCGACTTTAATTTGCTCCGCTCTCCTGCGGATAAGAACACTAATAACTTCTCTTGGGCGTTGGCTAATGCTTTTAACGATTTCATTAGCTCCTGCGCCCTTCGTGAGATCCCTAGGGTGGACTCTAGATTTACTTGGACTAACCATCAAATTTCCCCTATTCGCTCCGTACTGGATCGAGTCCTTGTCTGTTCGAACTGGGACTCGCTCTTCCCGCTAGCTACACTTAAATCTAAGGCGATTGTGAGCTCGGACCATGCCCCTCTAATCCTTGATGCTGGGATTCGACCCGTTTCCTCCCCACCTAGGTTTCAGTTTGACGCGTCTTGGCTTCTTATTGATGGCTTTAGTGACCTCCTCGGCTCTAAAATTAGTGGCTTCCTTTCGGCGCCTCATCGTTCCTTTGGGCCCTTGGACGACTGGCATAATTGCTCAGCCCGGCTGCGTAAATTTCTCCGTGGTTGGTCCTGCAATCACTCGGCCCAGGAACGTAGAGAGAAGGCCCTTCTCCTGGCCCAGATCGAAGCCCTTGACTCTCGGGCTGACGTCTCTGGCCTCTCCGATTCTGATTGGACCCTTCGCTTCTCCCTTGAACACTCTCTAGTGCAGGTTCACCGCCTTAATGAGATTTATTGGCGCCAGAGGGGCTCGATTAATTGGATGCTTAAAGGTGATTCCCCCACTGCTTATTTTTTTGCTATTGCGAATGGGAGGCGGCGCAGATGCCTTATTGATAGCTTGATCATTAACGGGGTACGGTCTTCTGACCAAGGCGCCATCCTAAACCATGTTGTGGCATTCTTTTCCTCTCTCCTCTCTGCCAAACCTGACCAGGGGTTCTGGCTATCTTCTAACTTCTGGGACCAGGGGGTCATGGTCTCCTCGGAAGAAAATTCTGATCTGATGATTCCTTACTCTGAAGAGGAGATCTTCTCTGTGATTAATAAAGCGAACCCTAATTCTGCCTCGGGCCCAGACGGCTTTTCCATCCCTTTCTTTAAAAAGTTCTGGCCTATTCTTAAAGGGCTTATTTGTGAAGTCATTCAAGGCTATTGTCTGGGGACAGTAGATATATCCAGGCTCAATTATGCGGTCATTTCCCTCATCCCTAAAATTAAGGGTGCCGATCTCATTTCTCAGTTTAGACCTATTGCGCTCATCAATAACTTCACCAAATTCCCTGCCAAGTGTCTGGCCACTCGCTTCACCCCGGTGGCTCATCGGACCCTCTCCCCTACTCAGTCGGCATTTGTCAAGGGTCGCTTCATCCTGGATGGGGTCCTTTGCCTTCATGAAATTATCCATGATATCCATAAATCAGGTAGCAAGGCTGTAATTCTTAAATTGGATTTTGAAAAGGCCTACGATTCGGTGAGTTGGGGATTCCTTAAACAAGTCCTACTGGCTAAAGGTTTTGATAGTGGGATGGTTCACTGTATTATGCAGTTGGTCATGGGGGGCCATACTGCCATTAATGTCAGTGGGAAAGTTAGTAACTTCTTTAAGAACTCTAGAGGCCTCCGGCAAGGCGACCCGGCCTCGCCCATCCTCTTTAACTTCGTGGCGGACACTCTTTCTAATATCCTATCTAGAGCCGCGGAGGCCAGCCATATTTCTCCTGTTAGCTCACACCTCATCCCGGAGGGTATTACTCACCTTCAGTACGCAGACGACACTATTATTTTGGTGGAATTGAACGATCACTGCATTGCCCATCTCAAATTTCTGCTCCTTTGCTTCGAAGCTCTCTCGGGTCTTAAGATCAACTTCTCCAAAAGTGAAGTCATTGTCACTGGTGTGCCGGGTACCGAGGCCTTACGGGTGGCCCGCCTCTTGAATTGCTCTCTTGGCTCGTTCCCTATTAAGTATTTGGGTTTACCTATCATATCTGACAAGCTCCTTGCCAAAGATTTTGCTCCTACGGTGGCCAAGGTTGGTAATCATTGTAATGCCCTGGAGGGGTAGATACAACACTCAGGCGGGTAAAGTGGCCTTGATCAATGCGTGCCTCTCATCTCTCCCGATGTTCTTGATGGGCTTTTACCTTCTTTCAATGGGAACCCATGCTGGCTTTGATAAACATAGAGGTGCCTTTTATTGGAACGCAGCTGATAACAAGCGCAAATATCGCTTGGTCAAATGGGACCTTATTTGTAAGCCAAAAAGCCTTGGGGGCTGGGCATTATTAACACTCTTGTCATGAACAAATGTCTGCTCATCAAATGGCGGTGGAAGATCATGACCATTCCCTAGGACAAGCCCCTCTGGTTCAACATCCTCAAAGCGAAGTACTTTCCCTCTTCTAGTCCTATGTTTGCTCGTGCCTCAGGGGCATCTCAATTCTGGAGAAACCTTGTTAAACTAAGGCCAATTTTTCAAGGCCTCGTCAAATTCGTTGTTCACAATGGTAGGTCCACCAGGTTCTGGCTTGATTGGTGGTGTGGTTCTTCTTCGTTGGCTACTGCTTTTCCTGTTCTTTTTTCCTACTGCCCGGGCCCTGAGATCTCAATCTTTGAGCTTGCGTCGAATAATTGGGACCTGCGTCGGCGTCGTTCTCTCTCTCCCGCAGAGTTGGAAGACTGGCAGCGCCTTGTTTCTCTCATCCCTTCGCTCTCGGAGGAGGAAGACACGATTGTCTAGCCCCACTCCCCCTCTGCTCGTTTCTCGGTTAAATCTCTATATGGTAAGCTCATTGCTGGGTCCACCACCTCCAAGTTCAATTGGATCTGGAGGGCTCGTATTCCTCCTAAGGTCAAGGTTTTCCTCTGACAAGCCTCTCGTGGGCGTTTGCCGACGGGTGACCAAATTCGCAAGCGAAATGGCCCGGGATCTGATAGGTGTGCTTTGTGTGCTATGAGAGAAGACACGTCACATATTTTCTTCCACTGTGTGTTGGCTAATCTGTTCTGGTGTTGTATCATATCTTGGTTGCATGTATCCTGGGCTCCGACCTCCTTTTCTGACCTGTGCATCTTGGTCAATTCTTTGGTTGGGGCCCAGAGGAGATTGTTTTGGGTGGGCTTCGCAGCCATGTGCTGGTCCCTTTGGACGACAAGGAATAAATTTACCATCGAACATGTTTTCCCTGCTAAGCCTGTTGATTGCTTATTTAAGACTTGTATATTCCTGCAGCAGTGGAGATTATTGACTAAGGAGGAAGACAGGGACGCCCTCGACGCCATGTTGGCCAAGATCCTCAATTTTGCTATCTCCATCTCCGCAGTCCAAGCAGGCACTTAGGCGCTGGTAGCTTGCTTTCGTTATCTCTCTATCTCCGGCCTGCGAGCCGTGTACTGGACTGGGAGCCATGTACTTAGACTATTCTCTCATGTTGTCTGGGCTGATACTTTGCTTGTTCTCGTGCTAGTCTTTTGGGTCTGTGTTAACTCTGACTGGTGGCTTTATTTATAAAGTTGGGCTGTGGCCTTTTATCTAAAAATGTGTATTAGAAATCTATTGTCTGACAAAGAAAGAAAATGGTCTTACATCAGTTGGTTGGAGGGTCACCATCTTCCAACGTTTTGCTTATATTGCGTTCTTTTAGCATCATCAGCAATCTCAGTCTGCAAAAGAGAATTACTAATCATCGAGAAATTTAACCGATAACCAGCGAAAGTTCCGGATGAATCGATTCGGTGACAATGATAGGCCACTGATGTGCTTACTTAGAAAGGAAATATGTGTTTACTTTACAATAGAATGGCACGGTCAGACAATCAGCTTTAAAAGGTAGGAAGACAAGCACATTGACTAATGCCTGATTGATCGACGGTGAGAGACACACCCATTCATAGTCCGTGCGTAGTAGCCAAGACTCCGTAGATAGGGCGTTTGGAATATGTACTTGGGAAGAAACGCTGAGTGGGAAGACGAACATCAGCTGATCAAAATCAACTCTTATTAGTTATTGGGTTCAAGTTCATTTCTGGGCGGTATTGCAGCAGCAGTGCATCTCTTTGGGTTGCAAGAAAGTTTCCCCACTCTGACATAGAGACGGAGCCCATTATAATCCTAACCAAACGAACCCAGTTACACAAATTTTAAGTAGCCTTTTGATTTGCATTTTTCAAATACACGGGAATAGGAAAAGGACGGGATATGAAATGCTGGGGCTATTGAAACCTACTGAAATTTAAAACAAACGAATATGGAACCAAAGTTATTTGGTTGCATCATAGGAGATACGTGAATTTTCTTTGGGGCCTATTCAATTTGCAGGATTCTCAAAATGCCCAATAGATAAAACACATGAATTGGATGTCATGACATGCCATTTTCTACATAAATAGGAACCACATGAATAAGCAAGTACAAATAGTTTGATGTGGCATAGAAAAACCACATGACTTTTTGAAGGATTAGGTGCATAAGACATAATTGACATTTAAACAAAGAAAAACTTTCAATAGGTTTGATCATGAAATTTTCCATTTTTTCAATTGAGAGCATAGTGGGCCATATGAAAACTTCCCAAATACAAATCAAAGCGTCATGAAAAGTAAATCCCCATAATCTTTCTGTGAAATTATTCTGAATCAAAGATCAAGAATTAGTTGTGTGCCATAGTAGCCAAAGAAACATTTCCCATGTGACAGGAGCAAATGGAAACTCGGTAATAGAATGTGGTGCATGAATTTTTTCTATGTGACACAATCCTGCAATTAAAACAATGTTCAAGATCTCACCGCTGAGGAAGGAGATTAAGGTAACAATGCTCAAGTCCTTTTGTTGTAAAACTAAACAAAAAGAATGTCATTTTCTAGTGAAAGACCAAACAAGAATGCACAGTACTACTACGACCTGGAATCCTGGATATTGGGCTTGATGGAATGCATTCCAACTTTCTTTGCCATACCAAGTGATGGTGATATCTGGTCTAGCATATATGCGCTTATATCACACATGGCACAAAAGCACTATAAACATGAATTTCACGTCTAGCATACACGCGCTTATATTGAGTATTCATATGTGAAAACAAAGACAACTTGCGTCTAGCACAGCTCTCTAAAAATAGACTTAAACTCACAAACACATGTCTGCAGTAAACCCACGAACTTGCACATTCATACAACTGTACGAAACATGCAGACTTGTAACGAGATTTACACCAACAATTTTCACATTTCTTTTGTTGAGCACTTAGAGGGGGGTCTGCATTAAAGCAAAAAAGACTTTCAATTGCAGATGGCCTGTGATGGACACAATCGCCTCTCTTTCCACCCATTTTCTCTGTTTCTTATCTGACAAGAGTTTACAGAGACAAATGCACCTCCAGAGTTTCAGAAGTTATCGGCTTCTGTTTTCCTGTTCTGAACAAAAAGGTCGGTGGAGTTTCAAACAGGCATTAAGCAGCAGGACGCAATATCAAGTACTGATCTCTAGTTTGAATGGCATAACCTAAAATTTTGCACCAGTAATTCATAATACAAATTTCCATTAGTACTGTTTATTTATTATTATGTTGACAAAGTAAACATCTACTAATTACATCATTCATGGTGATGGGTCCGGAGCAGTATCGCCTCTTGGGGAGACAGCAACAATGGGGCTCCGCACGACATGCTTCTCCGATACCCAGCTCAAGCTTCCCTCCACGTGCAGTTCCTCGCTCAAGCCGTGGCTGCTCACGGACACGCTGAAGATCTTCTTCTCTCCGGTTTTGGAGAATGCCAGCGTCTCCGGGGAGACACGCACTGTCAGTGATCTTGGCGCGTCCACCTTCGCTGTGAATGTCGAGTTTGCTGGCCCAACGTTTGTCACAGTCCGCTTTACTGTGAATGGCGTCGATGTCGCTGACACGGTTATCGTCGGGTAGTTAAGCTGCACGGCGTGGACCTTGGGCAGCTTTGCACAGGTCAAGCTTGAGTTGCGCACGATGGTTGCTAGGCCGCTGTCACCTAGGAGCCAGCAGATGTAGCCGGCGTAGTCAGTGACACTGAGGTCGTACACCAAGCCAGGATCTGCGGCTCTGGTCGGGTTCACATGGCCGGCGCCTGTGTCGTACACGCCGGCCTTCCTATGTTGCTCGTCCAAGATTGAGCCACCAGTGCTATTAACGATGTCCGACGTCGTTAGGATGGCAGACTTGATGGCGGCTGGCGACCAGTCAGGATGGATGCTTTTGATAAGTGCAGCGACACCACTGACGTGTGGCGTCGCCATGGATGTTCCTGATATGATGTTGAAAGGGCCCCTTCCAGAGCTCGTGCTTGGCGGCCACGCGGCCAGGATGTTGAGGCCTGGTGCCAATATATCCGGCTTTAGGATGCCGAGGGCGATGACGCTTGGACCACGGGAAGAGAAAAAGGGCACAACGGGGGCCGGACGGACACCAAACAGTGTGTTGTTGTAGATGAGAGAGGCCACGGAGCTGCTCTCTGATGACGCGGCATAAGCTATGAGGACATCGCCGTCGGCCGCGCTCACCTGTACAACACTGGAGTTGAAATCCTGAACCATGGTGGCGTAGCCGCTGATTTCATCGTTGAACAGCACCACACCAGCCGCACCAGCACCCACTATTCTGTGGATGTTGGACTGTTGAGTCTTCGACCTAGTGCCTTCGCAGACCAAGATCTTACCGGTGATGCCACTGTCACTCTTGTAATTGCAGTTCCGTCGTTCCTCGGAGTAGAGGAGAGGGTGTGACTTTGAACTCAGACTCACTTTCTGGGTAAGTGCTTCTCCGTCGATGCTCCTGCCATTGCCGAGATGCAGGCCAGCAGCAAAGCTCCGATCCACGGAGCCGGCGGCGACCGTGAGCAACCACGGCGCCTCGTTGGTGATCGAGCCCATCCTCGGACCGCTATTGCCGGCGGCGCACACCACGAGGATGCCCTTGGACACAGCACTGAATGCACCGATAGCAATGGGGTCGTCATCGAAGCTGGCACTCGTGTCACCGCCAAGGGAGAGTGAGAGCACGTCCACACCATCCTTGATGGCCTCTTCTAGGCCTGCCAGTACGGCAGATTGCTTACAGCGTCTATTGGCGCATACCTTGTACATGGCGATGTGAGCGCCAGGAGCAATTCCAGCCGCGGTGCCCTTGCCCACGCCCGCACCATGGTATGATGCGCCGGTGACGAAGTTCCCGGCGGCAGTGGACGAGGTGTGCGTGCCGTGCCCCTCTTCGTCACCAAATTCATCACCCTGAATGAGTGACTTGGCACCGATGAGCTTGTTGTTGCACCGGGCCGCCTTGCACGAGCCCTTCCACCTTGTTGGGGGTGGCGAAACTCCATGGTCGTCAAAGGAAGGGTGCTTCGCATAGAGACCGGTGTCGAGTAGTCCAATGATGACTCCCTTCCCGTAGCCAGCCCGGCTCCAGAACCCGGTGCCGTTCTTTAGCCCGAGGAATTCCGGCGTGTGGGTGGTCATGAGCTGCAGCGTTCGGTCCGGGAATGCACGCACGAACCCTGGCTTCTTAGCCATAGCGTCGAGCTCAGCGTCGGTGAGCCTCACGGCGAAGCCGCTGAACACCTCTGTGTAGGAGTGGAGAAGGCGCGACTCGCTGGACTCATCCGCCAACGAGGTCGGCAAGAAAGACTCGTGCCACTGGCGGTGGGCGTCTTCGCCGGCATTCGAGCGCGGTGGCTCTACGAGCACGATGTAAGCACGGGAAGCAGAGGATTTTGTGGCATTTTGGTGTACGCTTGTGGCATCTGGATTGATATAGCACAGTGCGAGTGTAGGAAAGAGGATGGTGAGCAAGAGAAGTGGCACGGAGAGATTCGTAAACGACGCCATTCCTCAAGCCACGAACAGCTACACGAGGAAGATGATGGCAATGCTGGAATAGGATCAATCACGGGGTAATCTTTATACAGCACGAATGATTAATGCATTGCCTTATTTTTGGCATGTATTAATCACCGGGTAATCTTTATACAGCACGAATGATTAATGCATTGCTTTATTTTTGGCATATCTTAATCATCAGTTGATAAATCCAGCGCATCTTTGGCAACACATTAATGACTTTAATTTGCGCTAAATCTGGAAGATATGATAATGTTACTGGGATGGCAGGAACGTGGGTAATGCATCTACCCGGTTTTATGGTGCGGAATAGGGATATGGGGAAAGATATCTTCCATTCTCTTGATGATATTGAATAAATATACTCCTACTGAAGTATCTGCAAAATTGGAAGACAATTAATTTTTCAAAGTTAATACCTGCTGGTTCTGTATCCCCAGATATGATCTGCTATCATCTCATAAATGAGTACGTGCTATATTCGATGCAAAAAAAAAAGAGTACGTGCTATATGTCAACAGATCCTTGGACAAAAATATCGTAGTAAATGACAATATCTTAGTCATGAAATCAGGTGAGGTTGAACGGGTCATTTCTATCAATATATTTTAAAACGAAAATTACCAGGAGCTGCACTAAGAAATGGGAGAAATGACACTGACCGAGTGGGTGCATGGAACGTCTGGCCTTGGCGTTCCAGTGGACCAATCTTCTGGTGCTCAGCGAATCAGATTATACTCTACAAACAGGCAGAAACACAAGATAAGGATTGCGGAGAGCACGGACTGAACCAAGATGAGACGACCTCCTTGGAAAAGGAACCCGCGGCGGCCATTCCTAGTGCTTGGGAAGAAGGCCGTACCTTTTGCTTTGGCGAAGAAGCTCGCAAGGGTATGGGACATGGCACCGGATTCTGCTTCTTCGACCCCGTCGCCAATACCGCCACTGTGCCATCACCTTGCCAGAAGACACCTGTGGCAGCATGTACAGAAGAAAAACACTGAGAAAGATAAGTTGTGATTCGGGTCTTGAACTGGGGTCACTCAACAGCATCATTGCCTTCATTAACAGCAACAGACTTTTTATTGTTTGTTTGACGAAAAGCAACAGCGTCGCAATCCAGTGATTGAGAAGGGAAGAGCAGTTTACAAAGCTCACAAGGAGCACAACAACTCAAATTCTCCAGGGGGAAGAGAGACGACAACATACAACAAACACAAACACGCTATAAGGAGCTTCAGAGGTCTCGGAGGATCAATCAAACGCAGCAGGATTTTCATATAACCAAGCAAGGCGGGCGCCTTGAGCTTTGGCCCCCTAGTTGCTTGCCACCCGACAACACCCCTCAAAGAGAGGGAGGTGTCTCGTATAGGAACAAGGTGATCCACTGGGGATCACAACTCGCTAACCCAGTTGGCTTACGATGAAAACACAGACCTTGATCAGACACCCATATAACGACAGACAAACAGCAATAGACTTGTCGTAAGAAATTGAGTAAAAACATTGCATTACTAAATCCTTGATAGGAAACATCTAAGCTGAGACCTCTTATTATTGCAGACGCGTTTCACAATGCAGCGAATGGTAATCATGTTTGCTGGACCAGCCTAGCTAAGAAACATCTAAACTGAAGGTCTGAAGCGTGGAAAAAAGCAAACCTAAACAAAATGGCACCGGTCGTGTAACCATCGATCACCAAGCCTCCCCCATCTTCGTCTGGTCGAAGTAGCAGCCAGTGGGCCCGTCGCCAGGCGCCAGCGCCAGCATCACCGCGCCCCTCGCGCCTTCCTCCGGTGGGAGGACCCCCGTGTTCCAGTTGATCTCCGTCTTGACGAACCCAGGGTGCACGCAGTTGATGCGCATCTCTGGGTGCCGCCTCGCCAGGATACGGGTGTAGAGGTTCACCACCATCTTGGACATGCTGTAGGCCGGCAGCATCATTGGCCACCCAGCCACCTCCAGCCGCCCGTTCTTCATGTCCTCCAGGAACTCGCTCAGCATGGCCTCGATCCGCGCCTCGTCCCAGCTGTCGGCGTCGCGCAGGGACTCCCGCAGCTTCTCGTTCGGCATTCTCTGGTGGACACAGTACAGGTGCAGCTAGGCCGGGTGACTAAATTTTCCATTTACATTTTTTACTACAGTTGTTGTTGCAGCGAGGATGAACCTGCAGCTCTGAACGGAGGGAGGAGGTGTTGATAATCCTTGCTCCTGATGTGGATTTTTTCAGTAGAGGAAGAAGAGCTTCTGTTGCCCATTTCAGCCCATAGTAGTTGGTGTTAAGACATTTTACGGCCTCGTCATATGTTTGTACAATCACCGATTCGATCAGATGAGCTGCTTTGCCCGATAGCTGAACCAGAAAGTCAAATCAGAAATTATATTGTAATTAAACACATAATTCAAAATCTCCCATGAGAACATTGTGCCAAAATCAGGCATGAATATTCTGACTACAGTTGCAGGAGGCATAGAGGAGCAAATGTGTACTTTTGTGCAAAATTTGTAGATTCCGTCCGAAGCAAATCGACAAATTACAAAATAAATCACTAAAAGAGAAGGACGCTATTTTGTATCAATGCAAAATTCCACTTCAAATTTAATGCCCCTATTGAGATAGCAAAAGGAAATCAGTTTTGTAACATTGTCAATGTTTAGTACTCCCTCCGTAACAAAATGTAAGACATTTTTTATTTGTAGTGGTTCAACAAAAAAGGTCTTACATTTTCTTACAGAGGGAGTAGTTTGGTAGCAGTGTCAAGGCTTAGTATCATTACTCAATACACTTGTACTTTATGCCACTCAACATTTCTGAAACCCCTCATTGGTGTCGCCAACAAGGTAGGTCCAGGCCCTATATGTCCATGAGACAGTGAGTGGCATATGAGGGATGAGTAAGTTTATTCTAGCCGCTCGAACATTCAAGCAGTTCGAAGATTGGTTTTGCTAACACAAACCAGCATGCCATTTTACCATGTCAGTAGCCACATCAACAGATTTTGCCACATTAGCCCATCTCTATCGACACTCAGATGTTTGGGTCGATGCACAAGTTTAGAAAATCAGTTGAAAGTTGATGTAAATTAAAGCTGAAAGTCAGAAAGGAGTCAAATTGAAAGTTTTTAGTTTAATTTGAAAATTCAAGAGCCTACAGGGTGATGGTTGTGTCTGAGTTCCCCTTCTCATGGACGCCCATATGGAAGTTGTTTCCAAGTATACATACCCACATCTTAGGATCAATGTTGAGAGCTCTCAGGCCTTCCTGGTCTACTGCCACCCCTCCAACACCTGCATTGTTGACCTGCAGTGTCCATCCTATCTTCATTATAGGGACTCACAAAAGTACAAACGGCAAGACATTCACTACAGAAGAAGAAACAAATGATTTTACCAAAATGTCGAGCTTCCCATATCTGGTCTCGATATATCGCGCTAATGAGGCACGACTACCAGCATCCAGTATATCGAGCTGATGGAAGATTATGTTGGAGAGGTTAGATTCACGGCAAAGGGACTCAACCGCAGCTTTTCCTTTCTCATCATCCCTTGCTGTGAGAATGACCGTCACACCTTGGAGAGCAAGCTGGCGGCACACCTCTATGCCGATCCCTCTGTTTCCACCAGTGACCACAGCAAGCCTGAATCACACAGGGAAAAGTTCAGCATCCTTGCTCATCGTCGTCAAGAGGAAAAAATGCGAGTTTCGGAGATGACGCTTATCACCTTTCAGGGATTGCCTCATGGTCACTCATCTCCTCGAGCCTATGGAACGATCAAAGCAAAGTTTTGTTTCGTCGGTTAGTTCACAGAGTAGACGGAACTATTACCTCCGTCCCAAATTACTTGTCTTGATACGGATGTATCTAACACTAAAACATTTCTTGATACAACCGCATCTAGACAAATCTAAGACAAGTAATTCGGGACGGAGGGAGTACCTACTTGGTGTAGTAATTTAGCAAGTTGTGCCGGTGCTGGCGCTGGTGTTGGTGTGGATGGGTCTTGATATGAAGATGCAAAAATGTGTATGTGTTTTCTCCATGGTTTAACTACTTGGTACGACCGAATCATCTGAGATGCTAATCTGACGAAGATGGTTTGTTACATTCAGTACAGCTTCCTGCGCCTGATCTGCTGCTCCACGACTATATCCCGACGAACGTGTACGGTTTGCTTGCTACCGTTTACTGCAGGTAAAAGTGACAAGAACGCAAACAAACGGAGGAAGAGGGAGAGGGGGACCTGACCTGTGCAGCAGGGGTGATACCGGCGACGCCGCTGCGGCGGCCACTGAAGGTGCGGGCCTCTTCTCTGTGCGAGTGGCAACGAAGTTAGTCTGCTGGAACAGCGCGCTTGGTTGGTGGAGCGGCGACGGGAATGAGGTTACGCTCGGCCGGCGGCTGGGAGACGAGCTAGCGGCGGCGGTGGTGGCGGAGAGGTGATGGCTCATCTGGATGGGTCAACGAGCTGAGCGAGTGGGGAAAGTGAAGGCGCCCACATTTCTCGACAGAAAACGAAGGGGCCGAGATAACAAGGCTTTCAGGCCCATCAAAAATATTATACATTTTTTCGCATACATCAGAGACTTTTTCTAGTACATGTCTAATACTCCCTCCGTTCCTAAATATAAGTCTTTATAGAGATTCCACTATAAACTACATACGGATGTATATAGATGCATTTTAAGTGTGGATTCATTCATTTTGCTCCGTATGTAGTCCACCTAGTGGAATCACTACAAAGACTTACATTTAGGAACGGAGGGAGTATTTTTAAGTCCGTACAAAATATAACAGTGCTTAGATTACTACTCTAGTGATCTAAATTCTCTTATATTTCTTTACAGAGGGAGTACATAATTAAATTTTTCAAAAAATATTTTTCACACACAATGTACATCTTTCGTATGCACTAGAAACATTTTTTATACACGTTTACATTTTCAAATGGATGATTAACATTTTTTTTTAAATATATGTTTTAGTGTCTTTTTTTCATGTGTCTTGTACATTTTTATGTATACAACAGCAACATTTTTTCTTATACATGTTTATTTTTTAATGCATAATTTACAAAAAAAAAATATGTTTTGATGTCTATATTTTTTATGAACCTTGTAAAAAAATACATCAGGAAACAAATCTATACAAGATTAACAATTTTATGAATTGCATTGTTATTATTTTCCAACATCTACTTTTTAAAAAAATATTTCACATATATCTATATACTTATATCATATTTATGAATACATCATTAACATTTTCATAATGTCACATACATTTTAAACTATGCTAACAAAAAATTTACACAGCTTTAATATTTTTCAAAATCATGGGGTTTTAAAAAAAGTTGTAATTTTTGTATTAATTTTTTTTCACTTTTCAAATTCCTGATCATTTTTCTGAATTCGTCATTGTCCCAGAAAACCAATATAGGAAACCAACAATCCAACATTGAAAAAAACCCACAAAAAGCAAGCGGACAAGTGAGAGAGCAGCTGTATCACACTAATGTAGACATTTTTTCAAAAAAAGACCAAAAAGGAAATATGTTAAAGTGTGTAAACATATTCATGATGTATATGAAAAATGTAGACATGTGTTGAAATAAAAAAGACTAAAAAACCTAAGATAATTGATGAAAACCAAAGAAAAGGAAAAGGAAAATGAAAAAAAAACAAAGACAACCACTGTAAACATAGAAAAAATCGATAAGAAAACCACAGACAGGAAAACTTGTGTTGGAGCTAAAGTAATGGGTCCGCCCAGTAGCACCACACCAGAGGCGAGCCGGAGTTATGTCTCACAATAAGCGAGAAATAGCCCCCGCACTCACAAGCTATCTGAAGTCCGAAGTTATCTTAAAATAAGAATTTTGTGTTTATACACCACCTAGAAAAGTTTAGGATCTCGATGCAGATTAAAAGTTTACTGTCTAGAAAAGTTTACGATACACACTGAATATTATTTTATAAATATACACTAAATATTATTGCATAATATACGATGATAATTTTTGTTATATATATTGAACACTTTTTCAATATACAATGATCTGCAAAAATATCACATAATAAAAGATAACAGAAATCCGAAAAGAAAAAACATACAAAAAATAAAACAATCAACAAAGGCCCGGGCGTGTCTAAAGTTTAGACTATAAAACAATATAAGCTTGTACTTTTACGCAAGCCATCGAGTGGCACAGTGGTCTGCGCGCAAGCCGAATTTGGCGCGACCCAGGTTGCGCGAAAAAAAAATGTCAGCCTTTTTTTGCAAACAAGGGCATTTGTGTGATTACATATAAAGAAGGGGGGTTTTGTGAAAGGACATGCCACGATTTCCCTTGACAGGAAGGCCCCAGTTTCAATGTCAATACGTGCTTATACGGAGTTTAGATCGTTGTGTAGCCGCACTCCTGGAGTTAATTGCACAGAAGTACCACAATTCGGGCATCACATGCAGATTGGTACCACGATTGCTAATTTTTGCGTGTCAGTACCAACATTCGTCCAAATTTTTACAAATTAGGCTAAAACGCGTATTTATACGTACTGACAGTGTACCAGGTGCCGACGTGGCATATTTTTTGCAGAAAACCCCTTGGCTTTATATGTAATCACATAAATGCCCATATTTTCACAGGAAAACCGCCATTGAGAGGGACTTTTTTTTTGTTCGCAAGTTTTTCACGGACTTGTTCCAAAGTTTCCGGCGAATTGAACAAATAAATAACCGGAACGAAAAAACGGGCGCGAGCGCGATTCGAACCCGCGACATGTTTGGTCTGCCGCTGGGACCACCTAGAAAAGTTTAGGATCTCGATGCAGATTAAAAGTTTACTGTCTAGAAAAGTTTACGATACACACTGAATATTATTTAATAAATATACACTAAATATTATTGCATAATATACGATGAACATTTTTGTTATATATATTGAGCACTTTTTCAATATACAATGATCTGCAAAAATATCACATAATAAAAGATAACAGAAATCCGAAAAGAAAAAAACATACAAAAAACAAAACAATCAACAAAGGCTCGGGCGTGTCTAAAGTTTAGAGTATAAAACAATATAAGCTTGTACTTTTACGCAAGCCATCGAGTGGCACAGTGGTCTGCGCGCACGCCGAATTTGGCGCGACCCAGGTTGCGCAAAAAAAAAATGTCAGCCTTTTTTTGCAAACAAGGGCATTTGTGTGATTACATATAAAGAAGGGGGGTTTTGTGAAAGAACATGCCACGATTTCCTTGACAGGAAGGCCCTAGTTTCAATGTCAATACGTGCTTATACGGAGTTTAGATCGTTGTGTAGCCGCGCTTCTGAAGTTAATTGCACAGAAGTACCATAATTCAGGCATCACATGCAGATTGGTACCACGATTGCTAATTTTTACGTGTCAGTACCAATATTCGTCTAAATTTTTGCAAATTAGGCTAAAACGCGTATTTATATGTACTGACAGTGTATCACGTGCCGACGTGGCATATTTTTTGCAGAAAACCCCTTGACTTTATATGTAATCACATAAATGCCCATATTTTCGCAGGAAAACCGCCTTTGAGAGGGACTTTTTTTTGTTCGCGAGTTTTTCACGGACTTGTTCCAAAGTTTCCGGCGAATTGAACAAATAAATAACCGGAACGAAAAAACGGGCGCGAGCGCTTCTGAAGTTAATTGCACAGAAGTACCACAATTCAGGCATCACATGCAGATTGGTACCACGATTGCTAATTTTTACGTGTCAGTACCAACATTCGTCCAAATTTTTGCAAATTAGGCTAAAACACGCATTTATATGTACTGACAGTGTATCACGTACCGACGTGGCATATTTTTTGCAGAAAACCCCTTGGCTTTATATGTAATCACATAAAAGCCCATATTTTCGCAGGAAAACCGCCTTTGAGAGGGGCTTTTTTTTTGTTCGCAAGTTTTTCACGGACTTGTTACAAAGTTTCCGGCGAATTGAACAAATAAATAACCAGAACGAAAAAACGGGCGCGAGCGCGATTCGAACCCGCAACATGTTGGTCTGCCGCTCGGAGCTCTAGCCACTACGCCATAGCGTCGCTGCTGACGTCATACAGGCCAACTTTTTATTATACTAGCGCACACGCTGGGCCGGCACCTGGGCCAAGCAAAGCCTGCAATATTTTACAAAAAATTTAGTAGATGCAAAATGATCATTTTTTAATATATGCAAAATGATCATTTTTTCTTATTTTTACACAGGCTGTGTTAATAGCATTATCTTTGAGAAAAATATTAGTTTGGTAAACATGCAGATTACTACATGTGTTATTTTTTGACAAATAGAAATATGAACCCGAGAATGAAACTTTCATCGTTTTAAAAGAGTTCAATATATAGGTCACAAATGGTTTTATAATACAAAAAAAGTTCATCGTATATTTATATAAAATCATTGTACATAAAAAAATGTTCAATGTTCAGTGTTTATTTACAAAAAATATCGCAGAATAAAAAGTTCACTATAAACTTAAAAAATGTGATGGTCATTTTGCATCTATTAATTTTGTTTACATAATGCGCAGTGAATATTTATTACAAAAATGATCAATATAAGTTAAAAAATCTTAATATATGTTGAACAATTTTGGTAACATATATTAAGAAAACTGTTCAACATACCTGTGGCCTGGAGGTCCTGCCCGCCTTTTAACCAGAGCATACCTGTGGCCTGGTGGCTAGCGCGCTCCGCTTGCGTGTTGCTGGTCGCAGGTTTCGAAACCTGTTGATGATGTGCTGTTTTTCCTTTATTTTATTTATTTATGCTGAACATTTTTTTAAATACGTTGAACAATTTTCTAAAGATACGATGAATATATTTGACATAATGCAAGGTGAATTTCTTGTAATTTATGGTGAACATTTTCTTAGACATGATGGATTTTCGTAAAATTTTGCAGGCTTTGCTTGGCCCAGCTGCCGGCCCAGCGTGTGTGTGCTAGTATAATATACATTTCGCCTGTATCACGTCAACAGCGACGCTGTGGCGTAGTGGCTAGCGCGCCCGGCGGCTGACCTGCAGGTCGCGGGTTCGAATCGCGCTCGCGCGTGTTTTTTCGTTTCGGTTATTTATTTGTTCAATTCGCCGGAAACGTCGGCACATGACGTACGGGCCCCAACGCTGTCAATCATATGATGCCCGAATTGTGGTACTTCTGTGCAATTAACTCGCGCTCCTAAGACTTGGTACTGATTTGTAAATTTTTTCGCTCTTTAAGACTTGGTACTGATTTGTAAATTTTTTAAAAAGTGATACCGATCCGCAGAGACTGCCCCAATTGTGGTACCGACCTGCTATTAACTCTAATATGTCTGATCTACGGAATAATATGGTGATGGCCTTTTCAAGTAACTTTTAAATCTGTGCAAACTTTTAAAGAGGGGATACCAGAACAAAACCCTTAACAA